GGGGAGTAAGGGGAGTGGGGGGGAGGGGGCGAGGAGGGGTCTTGATCAAGAGTTTGGTCGACGCCGCCACCAAGTTTAGGCTACGTTCCGAAACAGTCCATCTCCGTTTGGGGGTGAGAGGGAGACGGAACGCAAACGGATGGCGGCGGCCGAGCCTCCACCTCGGTTAGGGCCGTGGCCCGCCGGGCGTTTGGAACGCGACCCCGTCCGGGCGGCGAGGCGGGCGAGGCTGACAGCCCGGCAGCCTCTCTCTCCTCCCCGTCTCTCTCGCCCGCACGCCCGTCTGCGCCCTGCGCTCCGGCCGGAAGAGGAAGGACGGCCGAAACACACAGAGAGGGAGCGAGAGGAGGGATGCAACTTCAGACGCGCAGCCGCCGACGCCAAGGCCCAACCCGGAACTGAACCGCTCCTCCGACCCGAACCCCCCCATTCGGACGCGTTCGGAAACCGACGGGGGCACCGGGCGCGTTTTCTCCGCTTGGCTGCCGTTTCCGACGAGGAACCAGAGGGAGACGGAGAGAGAAAGAGGGACTGTGGGAGTGGGCGAGGATGCTGCGAGGCGCAGTGCGGAAGCGACCTCTCTTCAGAGGTTGCCGCCGGGAAGTCGGAGGAGCGGGCGACGGCGGGGCGGGGATGCTAATCCACGCCGATAATTATTATGGGACGACTGCTGCTCTGCCAGCAACACGGAGTCGCTCGGAGGAGACTATTTCGGATTTCGGTGAGTCTGGACCACAGCTTGAAACAGAATAATCATTGCACTCATGTCTCACGCTTTTGATGTTTACGAATGAAACATAACCTCTCTGCTTTAACACGTGCTCTATGAGCATTGTGGGCCCTGTTAATCAATATCGGAATCGGAAGTGAAAACATCTAATCAATTTAATGTCTTTTTCTTGTTTCCGATAGCTTTGTGTTATATAAACAATGAATACCCTTTCATACCGAGGAGGTTAGAGGAGGTTATGTTGCGTGTTGAAACTCGGGCCTGTGCATCTAGCACCTTTGGTATCATCACCTTTATCAAGGTTTTTTTTTACGACATTTATTATCGTTGTTATCATTGAGTCCGTACACAAACCTTGACAAATGACACCGGGACGGTTTAGAAGATTTGTGTAAACACATACTTCTCCGAAGCATTACTCCCATACAATCTAAACCCTTTTTAAGACAGTCCCCAAGACCGTCTCTATTATCTTTACAAATTCCTCAAAACTTGGTTTAGTGAGAGATTATTGCAAACATCCACTCGCGGCAAAACACAATATGGTTGCCTCCCCGCAAGCAATCATCAATCAAAATTACATCAAATTTGAGGTGAATTGTTCAAAATGTTAAAACTGGAACATTTTTGCATCAAAATATCGGTTCTGACGCAAGATTGACATCCAATTGATGTGCGTTAATTGGACAGTGCTCGCTGGGCTACGTTATGTGGCAACTTTCTCAAAACGCCAACACTAATAATAGTTTGTTCTCTTGCACCGCGGATCCCATGATACGGCTGCGCTGCAATCTATTCGTACAATAAACTATTCCGGTGTAGCTGAGATGAGGAAGAAATACGAGGAACAGGGGAAAGGAAGTAACGTAAAGCATAGTAATTTCCGTTTTCTTGCTCTTCGCCTTCATTTCAGCTTTCGCAGAATGGTCTACTCGACAAAACTAAACTCCACGAAGCAAGATGAAATTTAACTCCCAAAAAACTAGCCATTTAAGGGGCGTACTCTCTGAATCACCCGGATGTGGGTGGGCCGGCGACTCCCACTCACCTATGGGTTTCTGCGCGTAGGGGATGCCGAGCCAGGCGTCCACGTCCTTGCCCGTGGCCGCGCGCAGCGTCACGCCCCGCACGCGGCCCTTCTTCGTCATGACGACGAGCGGATCGTGGTCGTAGTTGGGCGGCGGCGCCTGCAGCTGCGGCAGCTGCGTCTGGTTGAAGGTGTGCGGATTGTGCGGCGGGCTGCCCTGCGCGGACCGCCGCTGGTTGCTGCGCTTGCGGTGCGGCGGCCGGGCGGCGGCGGCGTGGAGGTGCGTCGCGGCGGGGGCGGGGGGCGGCGCCGCCTCCGCCCCCCACAGAGACTCCTCCACCGCCACCTCGACGCCTTCGTCCTCGTCTCCGCCGCCGCTCGCTAATCTCCTGTCCAGGGGCAGATGGTCGGCCCGGACCTGCGGCAGAGGTGGCCGATGACAACACAAGTCCTGGCCGGGCTCACTTCGGCTCTCCCAACCAATCGTTCCCACGGGCGCCCTTACCTGCTGCGCCGCGTCGTCGTCGTCCTGGTCCTCGTCCATGAAGTGCAGCTTGCCGGAGAGTAGGAGGAGGTCCTGCAGCTCCTCATCCGTGTCGCTCGCGTTGCTGCCGCCGTCCTTGCGCTGGGCTGCGGCGCCGGCGACCTGCGCTGCCGCCCCGGGGTGCTCGTCGGCGAGCCCCGCGGCCAGGCCGGAGGGGAGGCCGTCGGGGAGCCCCGGCGGGCCGCCGTCGCTACCGGCGCCGCTGCCAGGAGGTGGAGCGCTGGGCCCGTCCTGGAGGGCCGCGCCGACCAGGCCGGCCGCCCCCGGGGCCACGCCATGCCGGTGATGGCGCTGGTGCTGTGTGGAGGGGGCCCCCTTCGGAGCGGCGTGCGCCCCCCGCTGGGACAGCAACTGCAGCAACAGCGCCCCCACCAGCACCAGCCACAACCGCATGACCACTCGCCACACCCTGCAACAGAAAGCAAACACGTCAGCCGCGTCAGCGCGCGTCAGCTTGTCCAGCCCGGAGGTGCCCGGAGGCGCCCGGAGTTAGGCAGGCCCGCAGCGCCGTGCCGTGCGGTTGCTTGCCCTTGCCCTGCCCCGCCCGCTCGTGTGCACGCCGCGGTCCCCGTGGCACCGCTGCTGGTGCCGCGGGGGTGGCGGTGGCACCAGTGGTGCCAACCTCGGCAGGTCGGCGCGGTTGTCTGTCCGCCGGCGACGTGATTTCGCTGTAATAAAAAGACAGGTCGGAGCGCGAGCAGCAGCGCGAGTGAAACACTCTCCCCGCGGTGCCAGCCCCGCCCCACTCCACCACCCCTCCGCGCCACCCCCAGCGCCGCCACCACCGCCCACCCCGCCAAAACAATTCCATGAATATCGGCTCCCGAAAGTTGCCGATATTCTGTAAATAAACGAGGGAGAACGAGCGAGCGAGTGCGCGACGGGCTTGTGGAGAGAGAAAAGGGGGAGGGGGGGAGGGGCAGATAACTCTGCAGACAATCTCACTCCGTTTGGTTTCACGGCATTGGCTGGGCTGCATGGCTGGTGCCGATCCGTCCCGCGACAGCCAGCCCGCACCCCCTCTCCTGTCCACTCCTCCCCCCACCCGCCGCCCTTCCGTCCCCTCTCCGCTCGGTGCAGTGCACTACAAAGTGAGACAGGCACGGCCAAAATGCACAAATCGATTACCCTGGAGCACAATGGCAGTGGCTGCAGGGGCCGGCGCGCTCGCCGGGGCGCCAACTGCTGCGGCGACTGTCGCCTTCGTTTGAATAGAATGCCGTCGGGAGGGAGCCGGCCGGGGCCGCCGGGGGAAGGGCAGAGCAGAGGCGGATGCAAAACGATCAGCTCGGAAAGAGGCCTCTTCCCCTTCCTTTCCCGGCCTCCTCTCTGCCACCGACGCCAAACTGTTCGTCCCAATATTCACGTCCCCGCCATAAAAACACACGACAGCACACTGCAAATGTTTAGTATTCCCCCGGGAATAATACATGAAAACGAAAACTTACTCCAGGAATAAATATAGTACGGGATATACATCAATCGTTGCGACGTGTTCGAATTATTTTATTTTTTTCGCGTGGCGCATTTTATGCAGGAAGTTAGTCGGTCGGGTCCAGGCTGGGTCGGCCTTGCCCAGGCCGCCGCCGCCGCCGCGCCGCACTGCGGGCGGACTGCACGTTGCATGCACGCCGTCAGGGCGGGGCGGGGCGGGGTGAGGCGAGGTGAAACACGCCCCGCTACCGGCGCTGTCGTCTTTTTCCGAGTCCTTTTCATATTGAATCGAGCGCGCACTACAGTAAAAAAAAATGGTATTTTATCTGCATGTGCGCGTCATGCTCGTGATATTTTTCATGGCTGAACAAACACCTACGCACATATATTTCCGCCCCGGAACCGATAACACCGCGCTCACCTGGTCACCGTGTCCAAAGTGATTCCAGCCTATCTAATCTCAGGGGGGTAATGTCCCTAATTTTTATCCCCCCCCCGCCCCGTGTGATCTCTTAAGGCTGTGATTAACGCAAGGTGTTGCAGGGCGGGGCCGGCCGCGCGGCCCGTATACACACATTTGCATGTGTTTTCGGTTGCGTGTCGGACAATTTATCAGGCTTGTAAGTCGGGGGTGTTGATGTAATGAAACATGAAATCTTTTGGTGGGGCGGCTCTCGCTGCCGTAGTGGACCGGAAGGGGCGGGCACGTGCCATGTGGAGTGTAGGCGGTTGGGGAGGAAGGGGGGGGGGGGCAAGGCGTCTGCGTCACGTCGAGTTATAGACACAGACTGTATCCAGGTCGGGCGGTCTCTCGATCTCCAGGCGCTATACTATACACTCCTTCGGGCCGCCATTTCGTCAAGCAACAGCTCGAGAGGGCGGAAACGCGTAATTGGAGGAAAGGTGTCGGAGGTTTGGATCGCGCGCTGGCGCTGGCGGCGGGGGCAGGCCGGCTGAGGTGGAGGAAAGGAGGGGCGGGGGGCTCTCCGAGAGCAGCCCGAGAGCGTTGCGCTGTTCATTAACGCCAACAAGGAATGCTTGCGATGCCGCGTTAAGGAAAGCTTTCGTGCGAATGTGCGTCCTTCCTTCTCCTCGCAGGAGCTGGTATACCCCTCCCCCCCACCCTCCCTCCTCGGGCCACAAGGAGGCTCGCTCACGACCGTCTGCGCCAGGACCGAGACCGCTTGCGTGGCTGAAACTGACCCCCAACCACCCTCCCCACTTGTGGTTTTCGTGTACTTTTTTTTACGTTTCTTGGCACGAGCGTAAAATTGATAGATTAAACATATTACTCTCATTTTGTTTCGTTAGGAGCGGCACTTTGGATGGATACGGCGCGCGGGACAGGCCACACACCTCGATACCCCC